TCACTTTCAATCTTCAAAATTGCTTTATTGTGGTGCCCTTCAAAACTCAAAGAGGTTTACTTCCTAAATCCTATCCCAAAAACCACAAGAAAAACCCTAACCCAAAAAAAAAAAAAAAAGGAAATGAAGGCAACACGCTAGAATTTGAACAGTACTCAGTTTTCTTTTGTAATTAATGGGTTGGTTTCGATCCAAATCGTGCCAAAATACGAATTTTTTTCTATTTTTTAATCTCGTGAAACACAAGGCTTGCCACTTCACAACTGACATAATCATATTGGACTTTGGATGCAAAATTGTGTTTGGACTGGACACAATGTTTTCTGTTTATTTAGATGGCGGAGAGCTTTATTATTCAACTAAAGGTTCTTTTATTCAAGTTCTTGATGTCCATACATTTGTAAAGTAAATTCATTTGAATTGTCCCAAACAATTTATCCAAATTTAGCTAGTATAATTTTTATAATTAGAAGTTTTATTTAAGCCATAAATATAACATAAATTTAATTAATTATTCATTTTTACAATTAAATTAATATTTAAAAAAATAATCATGAATATCAGTCAAAATATTTTGATTTTATTTCTATGATTAGATGTAGGAGTAAGCATGTCCTCAACTAATACATAAATAAATAAATAAATAAATATTAAATCTATGTTAAATTAATGGTATTATATATGTACAGAAACACACACACACAGAGAAAAACACTTGGATATTTATTATACTACAATCTATGTTAAATTAATGGCGTGTGAGTTGAAGATGATATAAACTATAGAGGAATGTGGTTCATATTTGAAATCATATTAACTTAATGAACTCATTCATTAGTAAAAAAAGCTATATCCATCATACCTTATAAGGATTAATGAGACATTTAACCACTTTAATGTTTCCCAAAAAAATCTATTTGTTTAATGACAAAGAGTTTACCATATAAATTTCCTCAGCTCATGTTTATATGAAGTTGCCAATATTTTTACTACATTCATTACATGTTGATTCAATTGTTTTTGCTTAGCCTCGATCTCCTAAAGTATCCTCAGCTTAGTTTAGTTGGATATACTCTAGTATATTATGTACTCTATCTATCATTACCCATCATGATTCACTAATCTATCATCTTTAGTTAAAAGAAAGATCTCTTTTCTAACTGAAATATTGAAGTCTTATTTAGAATGCTTGCGCCTTTTCTTCTATTAAGACAATGATCTAATCATCAACCATCATTCACACTATGTTAATTTAGTATACCCTTACACATCATGTGTTCCACGAGGCTTAACCTAGCTCTCTTCTCCCTTTTGAATGGGTCAATGACTTGATTAATAAACTTTATACTTGCTTAATCAATCTAATATATCCTAGCACATTTTGTATTATAATAGGTTAGACATAATACCTCTCTTTAATTAAGTTAATGACCTAATAACCCATCTTTAATACATTGACTCGCATACACGCTAGATGCACCTCACATCATCTTATCTTACAGACTAGCTTAGCTAATTGGTAATTTTAACCCAACTTCACATTTTAGTTCTTCAGAAATAATTGATCAAAATAGATTAATCTAAGCTTACCATTTCTCATGAGTAAGTTCACCATATGTTAATTAAATACAATAGACTAATTAAAACAAATTAGCTCAACTTAACCAAATTATAAATCTTATGAAAATCTCAATGGTTAAATCAATCAAATCCAATTCATAAAATTGATTAGAGTGAGTTCAATACATCCTAAATGTCCCAAAGTGATAATTTATTTAACTTAATTGGCCTTAGAAGCTCATCAAACCCAAGTTGAAGTCTCATATTTTCCATTTCGTTCAATTGAGTCAAAGCTAGCAACTCAACCCCTCCAGTTAATCATACTAAATCAAACACATCATGAATGGCTTACATTACAAGAAAAAACACAAAGAGCCTGAATGCATTTTTTGCACATAAAATTAATTTATGACTGATTTATGATGGATTTTGAGTTGCTGGAATATCTCTTGTCAAAACTGTATTTCGATGATTAAAAACTCCACCATAAACAAATGCCGACGAAAATTCAGCGGAATATCAGCCAAAGTTGTTATTTGCTGAAAAATCTATGAAAAGATCTACAAAAAAGTAAAAATTTCTTTCTGTTATACTAGTGAATTTTCAGTTAAGAACCAGCTGAAGTTTTGACTATCATATCCACTAATTTGGCTCATATCAATGAAATGACTAATAATTCTATCAGTTAAACATTACTGGCTGATTTATCCATTAGAGGTCCACAAGAAACTTGTACCATAAGAAAAATAAAATAGAGTAGAGTCCCTAGCCTAACATATTATATACCTGCAATCGTAGCACAAAACACACTATAAGTATATTTATAATATCTTAAAAGCATTAGTATCACACAGAGAAAATATAACCACAAATCAAAATAAATGAATCTATACAAATATAAATATACTATAATGTATAAGAGAAATAAGAAGTATATAAGGAAAGGATTGCTCCAGCTCGCCATACGGTTTCTCATCTTCCATTCTCAATTATTTGTTCTGTTGAAGTGTCTGGAATCACACCTCCTAACACCTCCATTCTTGACTCCAACTTAGCGAACCAAGCAAATAATTCAGCCTCGATGTCCTTGGTGAACATGACGACTAGATCTAGGAATTATGTTAGTTGGGTTTTGTGTTGGTTGAACATTGTGCTAGATGGTTTCTACTACTTCTGGTTGAGGAATTTCTTGGGTTGAGGACGGTAGCCTTCTTCCTTCATTGAGTTGATTCATCTGTCGCACGGGGAAGTGGGAGTGATTGACATGGTAATCTCCTTTCTCCACCGCCCAATCCTCAAGCGATGACTATGATCTCAAAGTGAGCCATCATGCGTAGATGAGGATTATTCTTTTGCCTCCAACTTCGCTTCCTAGTGAATGACAAATTATACTCTTCTGTAAATACATGATTGTTAACCATTTTTGACAGCTCGGCCAACAACTTAAGCCACAGTAGGTCTAAAGCATAACAGGAGGGTCCTTGCCTAAGTCCTTATGGAAGGTGGCATGTGCGACAATGGATTTGAGGTCCCGAACTTACAATATACAATATTTCCCTTTGAAAGTCGGTTATGAAGGTGTGTCAGGGTTCACCCTGTCCTTGACGTGTTAGAGAAGGGCCTGTGAGTTTCTATGGGGTTTTTGTGAGCTAGCAAACTGAGCTACGAATATTCTTTTAAAGTTTGTGAAAGATGGTCAATGAACCATCGAATGACTGATTCTCCGAGTGTTGTGAGGAGCAGGTGACACATGAGTTCATCTTTGATCTTTAGTAGGCATGACGCTGATTCAAAAGAGGAAATATTATCGACCAGACCGACCATTGCCGATAGGGTTCTAACGTCAGGATTTTAAGGTGTTCGGGTGGTTCCGCTTTAGATATCTGTTGAAAGAAGGCATTCATGGGTTGTGCAAGTTGCAGTGCTTTCATGTGCTTAAGTTTGCGATGATCGAGGGGTGTGGAACCCGTGCTATCGGGGCAATAAGTTTCTTACTCTGGTTTGAGGGTAAGAGGGACTCTAATAGTGTTCAAGGTGGCTACCGTCTTCGAGTGATGAGATGTTGTCGATCGTGGAAGTTGCACCCTTTTCGGGACAAGTGTGTTTTTTATCGCCTCCATCATTTGCTCTTTCAGTTTGTTGATCTGGTGGTTACAAACTCACAAGGGAATTTCATGTTGTCAGGGGTTTCCTGAGGTTGGGGATCTTCACTTTGAGTCGCTCGTCTTCTTGTTAATCAAATAATTTACTGCTCCCCGCACCATTTATGATATTGAACCCAGATTTGTCCGCAAATCACACCCAAAGAATAATGTAAATAAAGAGAAAAAGAGCAAGAGAGACTTAAGAGTATAATATCAATAATATATCTATGCATTCCTCTTGAAGTTTCCTTTTACACATCATTGTTCCAATACTTATAGTAAGTAGAAGCATTGTTAAGTATTGATAATTCTCTTGAAATTATCTATTGTTGGTCACCCGCCATAATTTTCAAGATAACTCTTACTATGACTATATCACTACTCCTCGGATCTCCGTTCAGATCACTCCTAGGTTTAGCGGATCGCTCCTAGGTCGGTCCTTTTGGTTCAATCGACTGGATCGTCCGCACAGTGTGGATTGATAGCCCTTCGCACTTGCCCAAAATGATTATTTGACATGTGTCCCGTTCAAGATCGCTTGATTTCGCTCTTCATATTTTGATCATACATTAATATATATATATATATATATATAACAAAAGCTAAAATTGTTTCATCCAGGTTCAAAAGGAACCATTTATAGCAAACATCGCATTTGATTAGAAATTTACTTTGAGTCTTATTTCCGTGATTAACAAAAGAGGCTTTCATTACAAGCTTAAATAAAAAGATAAATTCAAATGCAGGATAACCACATTTACTCTGAATACTTTCACCAACACTTCAAACATGAATAATCCCCTCTGCGAATATAAAGATTCTATGAGGTTTTGGACCCAAAATATCATCATTTTAAACCAAAAGAACGCGTGACACTAATTTTTTAAATTAAACAAAAGTCAAAATTAATAAAGAATAATGAAAATAAAAAATTTAGTGAGATTACGACGATGTTCTCAAATCATCATGTCTATTAAATAGCTAATTGAGATTTTTATTTATGCAGTATCTCACATTTAACCAAAAAAAAATGCAAAAAATACTCAATTGTCAATCAAGGCAAAGATGTTCTTTTGCTCTAATGCCAAATGTTAATAATGAATTCGATTCTAAACATATATCTTAAATATAGATTGGATGAAATAACAATATGTGAAAAATAATATATGTAAATAACACATATCTTGCCATTGACTTAATTTCATTTATAACTAATTTTCACAACTTCTAAACTTATTTCATTTCAAAATGACATTAAATATTTCTTAAGAGAGAAAATAGACTTGAGGACTCCAAAGATGAATTTTATTTACAAAATTTTCTATCCATCATAGAATTGAATAAAACATGTTTACTATAACAAGAAAATTTATGTGGTTCATTCAATTAATTAATTATGGTGGCCAGAGCTCATACCCCATCACTTGGTAAACTCTTTCAAATATTTACATTTTCCCAGCACTAGCTTCCATCAGAGGAAAGGAAAAAAAACAACATTTTCTTCAATAAAAAACTTAATAATTTACCTTGTCAGCCACTAGACTGAGTTCCTCATAGTCAAACATGGCCGGCCTGGCTTAAAAGCCAGCCCAATAAAATAAATTGCACTCCATATAAGCCAAATCCAAAGCTTCCAGAATTGAAGGAATCTCTTGTAAGACCGCAATTTCAGTTCTTCCCTTCAACCACATCAGAAAAAGTTCCCCTTTCCTTGAAATCCTCATGATTTAAGCAATTTATGCGCACCTTAAGAAAGCAGAAGTGATGAAAGCCATCCAATTCTGCAAGCACAAAACCCAAACATCGTGATACCAAGCGTTTGAGAAGCTCGGATCTTTGGACTTGAAGCCTGAAAGATGATGCCTTTCAAGCAGCAAATCGGCGGAGGTGGAGGCGGCGGAGATCAAATTAAGAAGTTAAGGAAGGAGAAATCCATGAAGGAAGCTGAACCTGACGGTTTCAGGAAAGCTCCCTTACAATCCAGCCATCTGGGACTCAGCCCGGTTCAACAGAAGAAGCCATCTCCATCCAAAGTTACCAATGGATTGCCAAATCAAATGAAGCACACAAGCAGATTTGATGCAATTAAGGACAAGCTTCAGGTATCTACTGACTCCTTATTTTCATATAGAAAGATCAAAAGCATGAATAATTTGGAGACTTCAATTTCTTCTTCCAACCACACTGGAAGTAAAACTGTTGACAAAGAACTGGTAAGGACTTCGGGTTTAAAGCCGGTGAGATCTTCCATGAAGAAGAATTCAGGGGTGGGTCTTCACCCAACCGTGAATTTAAGCAGGGCTACCTGTTCATCCACTTTTAAAATTGCCAGAAATCCAGAAAATTTGGACCTTGATGAATCCAATAGCTCTTCAAACGTGACGCTTTGCTCATACAAATACTGTTCCTTACATGGCCAGAAAAAACACGAAATGCCTTTGCCTGCATTGAAGTGTTTTTTGTCAGCCAGAAAGAGCGGTTATCAATGACAAAATATGGGCGCAATGAGATCAATCATTTCAAACGACAAGGAAGTCAAGATGAAGTTGAAAGTATAGATATTGTCAAGGGAATGAATTGGATGATACTGGGAGATCATGATGAAACAGATCAGTTGCAGGAATCCTACTCGGTCACTAGCTTTGAAGACGGCGTAGACAACAACAGCGAGATTTCAATAGAAGAGATGAAGTTGTTTGAGGAACATATTCAATATATTGAGAATGAGAAGGAAAAAGCTCAACTAGAAACTGAAGAAGGAAAAACCTGCTATGTTGATTGGGAGAAAGGAGTAGGGCCATATCTTCATAGCCAGAGCAATTCTTCACTGCACTTTGAAGAGTTCCTTGGTCAAACACAAGACAACATCCTAGAATGTGAAGCCGAATGTTTCAAGTTCACACTGAGGCAAGAGAACACTCTGAGCACAAGTAGCCATGCTGATTCAAAATTATTGCCTGAGCCTGAAGCTGATGATGTTAAGGTAGACCTTGAAATTCAGCAAAGCACAAATTTCAGCTGTGAAAATGAAGAAGAATCTCAAAAATCCGTATATGGAAACTTACAATCTGGGGTTGAGCTACCCAATTCTTCACTGGAAACAGATTTGGAAAATTTAGAAGTTAATTGGGTGGAGCCTGTCATGAAAGTTAATGTGGAAGCTGTTGAAGGTTGTGAACCTTCCAAACATGAAACAAATTATGATTCCGAGCTGGTTATAAGAAGCAATTATGATGAGGATATAGACATCTACGGCGGATTGGAAAATGAAAAGGAAAATGTAACAAATTCTGCACCAGTCATCTCTGAAATTCCCTTAGCAGAGTTGACAAATAGGCCTAAAGAAAGATACAGCTACATGAGAAAGATGACAGCAGAGAATCAGGAAAATGCAAGAGAGTTCAATCCACGACCACCTCGATTGCTTCCATTGAAGCCTGAGCAAGAAGTAGAGGTAGTCAACCTCAAGCATCAAAGTGTAGAGGAAAGAAAGACAGCTGAGGAGTGGATGGTAGACTATGCTCTTCGAAACACCCTAGGAAGAATGGCACCAGCCAGGAAGAGAAAGGTAGCATTGCTTATCGCTGCTTTTGAGTCTGTCATTCAGCAAGAGCAGTCTACGACTGTGTCATGATGCAGCCTGATCTTATTCACCTGTTCTGCAGCCTAAAGGCAGTAATATTTGAACTACGAAAAGCATGTTTCTGTTTGGTTAGAAAGAATAGAAAATAGATATAGCAAGGAAATTGAATTAAAATTAGTTCTGACCATTTATTTTGATTGAAGAGAAATAGAATAACATTTTTTTTACTTTTTTATTGATGAGAAAATGAGTTTTTTATTTCTTGTAAAAGAACACAAGTCAGAATGTTGATTTGATAAATTTTTCCTTATCCACTTTTCTCTAGGGTCTATTAGGACAGTTTAAATGAAACATTCATTTGTTCGCATTCCTATATAAATATAATTACCTACAAATTACATTGGAACCAAATAATCAATAAAAAATTGTCAAGTAAAATGCATTTGCATTCGCTCCAATTCCTTAGAATTAAGCATACCCTTAAACTTTGTTTGGTTTGAAGGAATTGAAAGAGGAAATGTAAAGAAAAAAAATTAAAATAAAAAAGGTAAAGGAATTTAATTCAAATTTACTTGCATCCAATTATTTGTTTGAGGATAGATTGCGTGAATTTTTTTAAATTCATACTTGTTAGTTGTGAATTCAAAATTTTTCTCTTATAAGAGGCGTGAGTCATAGTGTAAAAACACATTTTGTAATCAAGAAAAAATTTTGTATATATAACTAGGATCACTCAAGATGAACTTTGTAATCAAGAAAAAATTTTGTATATATAACTAGAACTCAAGATGATGAACAAAGTGGCACGAGCTAAGAGAAGAGGAAATATTTATGTTGTATCTTATTACTATTACTTTTTTGTATAAATATAGAACTGGATATACACACACAGCTTTTCTGTCTTCTTTTTATATTTTTATTTTCTGGGAGTTTTAGCAGCCACAACTATAATGGCCTGTATTTTATTCTTTTTAAGGTCATCACAGCGCACTATTTTGTTTGCCTATTGCGTTTTCTTAAAACTTGTTTGATTGCATATGTTTGCCACCTTTTGTAGACTATTTAGGATTCATACAAAGAGAAAATAGAGCGAAACAACTGCGGCACCCCCATGCCGAGAGTCAGGCTTTGGCGTCGACATCAGTAGTGAAAGAGAGAGGGAGAGAAGTTTGGGTGAGTTGTTGGCCATCGCGTCAAGGGTGAGAGAAAGAGAAAACCCCATCTAGTGCCCAGGAGTTGTTTGTTAACATCATAAGAGAATGATCAAGGGCACTCCACTATGTACCTTATTTTGACCACATACTATTCCTAGATTCATTTTTGTCTCCTATGGTAGTCATCCATAAACCTTGATCATCATCAGTCCTGATAGCCATCAATCAAGTTCAATCTATGCGTTATTTGTACAATCATATGACATAATGGCCTAGTCACTCGATAACCCCATAATTCATCTTTTAGCTAGGAATTTCATTCCATGAGTTGCATCATATTTTTCATCATGTTTAGAGATGCATGAGATGAGTACAATTAATTTGTCAAATTTTTTATGTGATTTCGTGCGTGTGAGGACTTCATTTATATTTGCCAATGAAAAAAAAAATACATTTATTGAAGCTCCATCTCACAAAATGGACTATATGTGTGTAAATCGTGGGGACGGTTTGAATGGTACCACTTGTGTTTGAATTGGTCTTTTTTGGCATGCGTTGAAGGATTGAACATGTTAATATTTAAATATTACATAATCAATTTTATAATGAATTATAAAAATCGATTATGACATATATATGATTAATTTATATGTATATATGAACTTTTATTATATACTACTAAAAATATTATTCTCTCTCTCTCTCTCTCAAGAGCTTCAATTTTCACTCCCAATTATTAAAATCATGAAATATTGTCATACATAAATATATGCACATCTAAATATCTTTTTTTTTTTAATTCTATGTTGCCACATCAAACAAAATGTCAAAAAGGTCATTAATAACTTTCCTAACACCCAAGTTCTTCATTAAAGTTTTCCATGACAAAAATTGCAAAAGACCACTCTCCTATTATAGAATTACAATATTTAGGTTAGGCAAAGTCCCTACCTTACTCTTAAAGTTAGATTGTTAAGGGTGGGATCCTGGTCATTGCTTGGGTGATACGGCCTTAACTTAAGTCCAGGTGCACTGGCACTCTGGGACCTTACGCAAGTGTACTTATCACTTTTGTAATATAAGACTTTTGAGTCCAGATTATCGAACCCACAGTGAGCAAGGTGTTTAAGTTTAGGAAAAATTCTAGCCTACTAAATTCTTTCTTAGCTTGGAAGTTAAATTGGTTTACAGTTGTGCTAACTGGCCCTACTGAATTGCAAACTACTCTTCAAGGTTTACTCCTACAAAAATTCTACTTAATATAGTTGAATTGGTAAGAAACAAGTTATAAAGCTACCTTCTCTTGCAATGATCTAAGTGGAGTGAAGGAAATGAAAAATGAAAATTGTGAATGAGACTAGTGACACATAGGAGAAGCTCTCTTCTATACCCTCTCCCGAGTGCATAAAGAAGATTGATTGAATTGGTTTTAATTCTTTAAACCTCAATTTGAACCCATCAAAGATTATTTCTCTAATATTTGCATCTCCATACAAAGTACTTCACTATACCCTGTAAATCAATGTGAATAACATAATTGTTCTTCCATAACTCTCCTGAGTCATTATGGGTCACAACACTTTTTAACTAATCATTTGGCTAGAATGAAAAGTAAATAACGGCTTGAAGGTTACTAGATTTAAAACAATTTTAAAAGCATTCTTTCATTCCTAAACTTCCTACTTAATCACCACAAAAGAAAAGTGAAAATGACTACTAAAAAAGCATTGAGAAAACACCATAAAACATCTTTGATAGCAAGTAAATCCACTATAGAATTGTGTTTCCAGAAATAAAATAACAAGAGTACACAATACTTAGCTCTCTCCCTTTACAAAGTGTTGAGAATGCTTCTGCAAGGATCTCCTAGTCCCCTTGCTGCTATCCTCAAATCTCTCCTCACTTTACAATTGAAATTTTCTCCAATTCCCTCACAGATGCTCTCCTACTCTAGCCTACAGCAAAATCTATTTAGAAATTTTTTTTTCTAAAATTACAGCTCATGTGACTCACTTTTAAAATGAAAATGCTATATTTTTATCTCATGGACATGATACATAAAAGAGCATGCCATCAATCAAAACCCCGAAATGTTGGTGTACTTTCATAACATGGCCAAGTCTGTATACACATAGAAGGTTTCCTTAAGATTAGATAACTTGAATTGCATATCATGTTCTTTAATATAGAGCTTCCAGCATAGATATAGTTTTAATTAATGCGTCCAAAGACCATAATATGCTAGATGGTGGTCACCATGAACCAAATATGACTATAAGTCCAGCTGAGTAGCTATGGTTGTATATAACTATGCTATCTCAATCATTTATTTTATAAGAAGTCCTTATACTGCTAAGAATTGTTCTGAAAGTTTCAAATCCGACACAAAAAAATCATTTATATAGGAATCTTAATTTTATTTTCTAAATTTGAAATGAAGAAGACTAATTCAATATGAAGATGAAAAAAGGGAATGTCTCGTTAGCGTGCAAGTGAAGATGACGAAGAAGCGGGAGCCACTGCATGGAGTTCGAACGAAGGAGAGGCTCTGTCAAGACCAACCGAGTCGAAGAGGAAGACGAAGCAGAATGAAGACGACGTAGGAGCAGAAATAATCAGACGCCGAGCAGACGACGAGCAAATGAGCAGACGAGCGAACCAAGTCGGGTTTACCAGATGAGCAGTCGCAACGGACGAAGATCCCTCCGAATGATTCCAAGGCGAAGCGTGCAGAGTCGTGTTTGCTTCCGTTGCGAGGGGCTTTGTCAGATGGGTGAATCAAGGCAAAGAAATAATTCCTCACTTCCCGCAAGAAGGTCAGCGGAAAGAGAGTCTTGACAGTCCTCCAACGACTACCGGTGGCTATGGTAAAAATTTGGTTCTGATACCATATCAATCTTCGAGAAAATAGATTGAATCCTAAATAGGCTCAATGCCTTTTCACTTTGCTTTCATTCCATTAAATAATAATCTTACAATCTATTTTATGTACAAAATATTTTGTATAATCTATTTTAGCTAACTTAATAATGCATATTCATAATCTAAATATTTAGCTAACAACGAAATAAATTAGAATAAAGAAATTGGAAATAATTTAAATAAGAAAACTCATGATCATAGATAACTCCTAATTTAGCTGTCTGATTTCCGTTCTTCCTGATTGACAATATGCAATATAAGAAAAAATTCCATTAATCATTTCATGATATTTTAGTGGAAAAAAGTAATTTTTATAATACTATATGTAATAAATGTTCAATATCTCAATCATTTTCAGGATATACGAAAATTGAGAGATGAAAATTAAAAGTCCACTTTGATTTTACATTTGTATGTTTTCTGATGTTTTGATTGTTGCAAAGCTCAATCTCCTATTCCTTCAAAGTCAAATGAATAAATTATTTAGGTGATTCAGGAGGGTGACATTAAATGCTATCTTATCTTTATCTTCCTTATCAACGCCTGAGCCAAACTAAAAAAAAAATAAAAAGAATAATAAAAAATAAAAAAAATCCTATAA